ATAGTCTTCAGAGGATGATTCTGACACAAAATGTGCATTTAATAGTTCAATCTTTACATATAATTATCATTTGGATCCATATCTTACGAATGATTTGTTTTTATTGACTTAGTTTACAAATACTTGAAATCCTGAACGACAAGCCTCCGATATTAAAATTTCACGTGACAATATTTTACATAGTTACGGTAAATAATGTCCGTGCGTAAAAACTGATTTAAGTGTACAGCTAAGTACACACACACACACACACACACCCACAACCCTGGTACTATGTTGGTATTTTCCCTAATATAATACAGACAGTTCCGGTGATTAAACGAATTTTGTTTATTTGCAGGTTTTGTTACGTTAATTCTTGGTATATTATTAGCATTGCCTGTTGGTATGATCTCTATAGGTAAGTCAATACAGATAAAGACATGATCTGCTGATCGGATATATCGTTTACAAAGCATAGGGAAAAAACCTCCTGTACAGCTAAAGGAGAGTCCACCCTTTCAAGTTTTATATTTAAGTTGTATTTAGTAAAGCTAGTGCACGTTTCCAGAGAAAATATTCTGATATAAGCGTATTTGTATATTGATCCAATGAAACGACTTAGAAAGTGACTTTTTTTTATTGCCACTAGAATTCATAAATTAGGACATAAATGATATACGAATTAGGGTACGCAAATCTAAAATTGTCTACAGTCCAAGGGAGGTAATATTTTGTGCTACTGTGAAAGATTATTTTAATATTATCTTCTGACATTACGTTTGCGATCAGATTGTTTTCACAACCCTCAATAGATAAAGCACTTTAAGTTAGTTCCAATTGTAATTTATAGAATCAGACATAGTCAATAAGTTAACTATTTTAACTGAGTTCCATTTGTAACACAAGATAATTATGATATATCTCATGTGCGAGACAACTAATGGCGGTTTATAACTTGGAAATGTCATGTTATACCAGATTGGTTGTTTTTAACAAGATTCCTTGTGAAAACTGGTGATTTTATCACGCCTTTAAGAAGATTGTCTAAGTTAATAAATATATACTTTATCGCCCTTATTATCTAAATAAAATATATTCTATTATTTGGCGGCTTACTTTGTGAAGTGTTGCAGTATCTTTTCGATGGACGATAAACTGACAAATTCAGAATACATTATCGATTGTATTTAATTCCTAAAAGTATGTTTTACTATGATACTTTATTTTCGTAACGAAAAAGTCCAGCTAAAGAGCTTATCATTTTATGTTGATTCTTCTCTTTCACACCAATAGGACGATGGCTTTGCCTGTGGGTAGGCTCGTGGGTCTGCTCACCCAATGCAAGCGAATTTGTTACTTCCAGATTCATTTCATGGATTCAGTTTGCAACTAGCTTGTTCACTTACCACGATTTTCAATGTATGATGTTTTTTATCAGACTACATGGCTTCCTTCTGTAATGCCAATGGTCTAACTTTAGGCTAACTAAATTGGCATGTGCCTTCAATTTGTATTTTCACCAAATAATATCCAGATTAGTAGGACGTTAAACTTATTTTATTTTTGTTCCATGCTGATGTAACAATGCCTCACGTGAACTGAGATTGCTCTATTTACTGCTCCACGCCTTTCGCCACCCTCGGCGTTAAGACTTCCGAACTGATTAAATAACATGCGATTTTATTGGAATTGTAGGAAATGTAAAATCCCTTTCGACAAAAGGCTTCGAAAATTTCTAATAACGAGAGTTTTTTTCATCCGATTTCTTATAACATGCGATTAGTGTTTATTCTGGGATCGAAAAGAAAGTTTTGATAAGGAAATGAGTAAGGTTACCGGAATGACATTCAATTTAACTTTGATCTTATTAAACCTGCTAAAAGACAAGCTGTACGGATAAAAAAAATTGTAATTTGCTTTACCATCTGATAGATTCACAAATTCAGGTAATAAGTTCAGTTCTACTGTAATTCAACAAAAACTAAACGTATTAATTTAGATTGTCGTCATTCTGTGGGCGTTATTATAGCATTTTCGCGGATAATTATGATGAATGAATACAAAAAATTCACCATTTTGAGGGTTGAGCGGGAAGTTTGAAGTGTACCTGGTGATGCTAACTATCTTAAAGACTCCAAATTGTCTCTCATCGTGTTTTAAAATAAACCTGGAACGTGATTATTCTATAAAAGATCAGCGGGACAGTGGTTATTTTAAACTGAATAGTCGCCAAATAATCAGAATCGACTGGTTTATCTAGTAACAGGGATACAAGGGAGATTTTATGATCGATTTGCATGAACAATGTGCATAGGGACACGTCTTGCCACTTCTATTTGCACCATTCCTATTTCGCGAACAGAACAGACGCTTTCATATCGCTTTTTGGCAAGTTTAAAAAACGCTTTTCTAACCTTTTTAGGAAATAAAATTTCGTGGTCGAGTCAATCACACTTTAACTTATATTTATTTCCCTTCACTATAAACATATTGAAAAAAAGTTAAGCTTTTAAACATTTTAAAATGTTTCCGATAAACGACGAATAAAAATAGAAAATGGACAAGTTGAAGTGGTATTCAGACTCGGTATAACAAGTTTCTAATTATCCTTTAAGTAATGGTGATGTGTTTTAAAAACTCATTTAAGCCAAACTAGACAGGCGATGTGGTGTCTGAGTTTTAACATCTATTTTCTGTTCAATGTTATTTTAATGACGACAACTGTCTAAGACACGTAATAAAACATCACAAACCAATCACATGAAACTTTATCGGTTCCTTCTATGTGAACAGTCTAGTTAGATAACTTTGTTTAGTATTATTGGCCTGAACAGTCATATGTTTTCCTGGTACGTAACACCCATGGCCTGAATTGGAGTTTAACGTCTTATAACAGCTCTCTTATCCACGTCAAAGTTTGGTAAAGCAGAAAAAGCCAGTCTTCGTCATTATTCCAGCTGTAAAAAGTACACATAAACTAGGTAGGATCGATACTAAGTGGTATAGCTTGGGACCTGAAGGTCGAGATCCTAGGCTGATATCCTGGTATCTACCATTGTTTTGCAACATTATGAGAAATATGAATGTGTTTGATTTGGACCTTTGGCATTTAGAATTTAATTTGGTGTGGATCAACTAGAACTCACTAGAAGCCGCAAGGCATTATAGCTATGCAATCTTGTGCAGATTTGTTCAACACCCGTTTATAATATGTACCTGAAATAATTTTAGTAATGTGAGCAATAATTTGAAAGGTGGTTATGATTAAGATCATGAACATGGTGGTTTAGGTTGATAAGAACTTTGATATTAAATGTCAAACTAATTTAAACTGGCATTTCTCAGGAAAAAAATATTATTTTCAAAAACGATTACCAGGTGAAATAATAACCATATCATAAAAGGAACAGTTCCGTGTAATAATGATAAAAAAATCATATTTCTTATGCAATTTGATCATATTACAATCGATCGATGTTGTCTTTAGTTTGGTTAATGGCAAGAAATGGAGACCAAAGATGAAAAATGATAGAATCAAAAGCATCCATGATCCAAATACACGATAGGCACAGTGCATCGCGTAGGAAGTCATTCTGACTACCTGTCATTGCACCTGCCATAGTGTAAAAAAGCATAGTTCTCACAAGAACTTCAAAATTACCTACATGAAAATCTTTCCAAATATTGGCGTGATCATTGTGATTTGGTAAAATTTAAACCCTCATTGGACCAAAACACATACTCAAAGTCATACAACTTGTAGTGGTAAATATAGCCCAAGCTTACACTGGAGGTCCAATGTGCTTCATTGCTATCGTATCAATATCTGCTAGCTCGTGGGTCACGATTACTTAAAGTAAAATATGAAAGAAAGGTCTGACCAACTGGGGAAACAACAGTCGAAAATAACTCTTCATTGTCTTGTACTTTTTCTTGTTTAGCTCTGGGTTTAGAAAAATATTAATCAATCTTGTATTTTTTGGAGAGAAAAAAATCTTGAAACATACCCTTTCCCTGTAGGCCTTTCGTACTTCCGTTGTCATAAATATAAAATTATAGAAGATCGTCTGCAATCAATTTAAGACTATTTCATGTCATTAGGTCGCAGAAATCTGTGTAATTTAATTTGATAACTTATAGGGTTTTAGTTTGAGGCCTTAAAGTTAATAATTTGATTTAAAACTGACAAAAATAGATAAAGAATGTTAAAAAGTTGAACTGAAGTCTGTTATTATCACACTTCAGTGATTGAATTTAGAAATTTCACATTTTTTTTCTTTCTCGAAGCCTTCCGAATTCTTTAATTTGAAAACACCAGAAATGTCAAGGTTATCTCTTTTTCAAGATCAGTGACATTATCAACATGTAATATAAGATGTCATCAGAGGACAGATAATTCCATTCCACAAATTGTCATTAAACCCCAAATTATGTTAAAGACTTATCATTACTGGTTTAATGACGCCATCTTTTAATTTTGTAATAAATTATGGCTATTAGATTAATGATTTCTCCTTTAGTCGTCGAATGATTCGATTTTCAGGTACATATATTTGGCAATTAAAATCAAAAGTAAGTGTGAAGTCAGTTCATTTGATTTCAACATGGCAAAATGACAAGTGACTAATCGCTTATCTAATTTAGAACAGCTTTGAGACTGTAGACGAACCTGGTGTCGGATTTTCATTATGGAAAGAGACAGCAAAAGCTGGTATGTAAGTTCTGTCAGCCGGTAGAGTGAGTATTTATCGTCTTATATCTTGACATAAACTATTGTTGTACAAATTCTAATCATTGAATCTTTATCAATTACAGGTGTGAAATACTTAACAGAATGTCCAGTTCAACCAAAGATTCCAGTGTATTTAATGGTAGGAGGTTGTATTGGTCTTCTGAAATTAATCGGCTCCATGTGGAAAAGTATTCAGATGCGTCGGTATGAGAGTATGGACTTGTTTTATGACGCTAACGGAAATGATCATGCGTTTGCCTCCAGTACCTTTAAAATTATGGATACCATGATGACATTATTTCTGGTAATCTGGCATTGTGTTGGGAGTTATTGGGTATTTGATATCTGGAAACCACATTTCATACCATTACTACACGAGCCCAGTAATTATTGTGAAAAAACTGTATATATGTTTGCTGCTTGTCAAATTCTAGGTTGTGTGACGCTGGTGTGTCTGGCGATCGTGTGCCTTTTCAGTCTATGGTTGTGTCGTGCTGTAACTGAGTGTTTCCAAACCTAGTATTTCTCAAAAATATAAAGCCATTGACATGAATACTCATATAACTGCTCAAAAGATCTCCAACACTATTCCAGATAAAATCCAGGAGAAATATCATAGTTGGTCGACACGCCTTAGAAAATCTCCAAAGATTTCATAACCTTGTGCATGGACACCGAGCCAACACATAAAAGCAATAGCCATGTTCTTGCATGAAGATGAAAGGGTATACAATTTAATTAGTCAGATATGAATATGTCCACATGGTATACGATTTTAACGATTCGTTGCTCTGAGATCTAGGTGATCGATAATTTATGGATATGGATAACTCCATATTGCCTCATACCATCATTCATTATTTGAAATCTGCTCAAACTTTACAACGATATTATAGGGATTAATTTTCTACAGACGCCTAAGGTAACTCCTAGAAATGCTAGTTGAAGTTGTAACATGTATATGAAGAGAATAATATTTAAAATACCTGTATAATAGTTGTGCTTTAAATTATTCGTTTTTTTGGTTGAAAGAGCTTCAACTACTTAATATGGCCTACAATTTGCGCAAATTTGTTCCAAATTACAGAATTACATATAAATATTTTACCCCGTTGCCAAAGATGGAGTCCTTGTGCTCAATGATCAGAAGGTTTTAGTCTGGATGATTAAGATTATAAACTTTCAGAATCCAAACTGTAACCATATCAAAGGGACATATGCGCCATTTTTTTGACCAATCATATCTTAGTCTCGGAAACGGGAAATCAGTATTAGTGTTCAAATCTCATCGTCGAAATTTGAGCCTTTAACTCCACGTGTTTCATGAATTATCCGCGATTGAATGTTAAAAAGACGACTCAGAGTGTCATAAATTGACGAGTTAAATTATATTTATTCATAAAATCATAATAAAGAACACTAAATGGTTTTCTCTCGACCCGTGGCCATAATTATTGAACGATGCTACTACGTTAGCACAGTTACCATTCAGCTTCACTTCTCAGTGTTAGTATCATGTGTTCTAGAAAGAATGAAAATACTCTGCCAAAACAATAACAATAGTGTTTCTCACAAGAGTTTGCAAAACTTTCATAAATCGGGCAACACCAGATATTTCGCCCCCACCGGACGGAAACCTTCTTGTAGCTTTCCGTATTGTGATTTACACGGGCGAGATCTACCCCCTATGTGTCCCCCAATGTCAGGAGGCCGGCGCCGCCATTGTGAATGATGGCTTTTCACCCTACCACTATACACGAAGTAACTTTTTGTGACCATAAAAATTTGAAATTAAATATCATTGCCAATGCAAGGAAGCATCTCCGGGTGAACTGCACCTTATAGCCTGACAAATTATGAACGACATTCATCATTTTACTGAATGAAGTCCAATATAGAGCAATGCCCCGTCATACAAACCCTTAGTCGGACAAATCTATGTCACATCACGATTATATTATCTGAAGTGGTGTCATTTATCAACTTTTCAGTCCAAAAATGGTGGACCGATTTCTCCAAGTGGTCGAGAAAGAAACATTTGTTCACCCATAAATAAATCGCGTATGACAAATGGAGTGTTTGAATTCAGTATAAAATGCTGCAATTTTAACCGTCATCCTCATTCGTCTGCACTAAACCACTAATAATGAAGGTTTTGGTAATCCTCGCCTTTGTGGCAACCGCTTCTGGTAAGCCAAATTTGATACTCCATTTTGATAGTGATGACAATCCGAGTGAGAACTGTTAGATCTCAAACAAAACTTTTTTCTTGTAGTATATGCCAGAGAACGAATCGTTGGTGGTGAAATCGCCAAAAATAATGAATTCCCCAGCATTGTATCATTACAAAAATCATCTTTTGGAGGACTTTTATGGAGTCATATTTGTGGTGGTATTCTTATTTCCTCAAACTACGTATTGACTGCTGCCCATTGTGTTGATGGTTCATCGTAAGTTATTAGTTCTGTTATATAGTTGCTTACACTTAATAATATCAGTTGCATATAAACATATTGGATAGTTCTTAAGCGTACTATAGTCGAAATATTTGCTCTGCTATACATGTATTTGCTATTCATAGGCTCACCCCCTTTTTGACTTAAAATCCAATGACGGGTCAGCGTACAATACGAACCTTGGAAGTTTAATATCGGAAAGTGTCACTGTTAAAATGTAGCAGTTCAATTCAGAAATTGCTTTGCTTTATGAACATTTGACCCTTCTAAACTAATCGCTTAGTAAACTCACTTCCGCTGAGCCATCCACTGAAGAACGGCACATTTTTTCCTTAGGTTGCCACACAAACAAGAAACAGATTAGGCTCCCTATTTCAAGTTATTTCTCTCATTATTTCACAGTGCTAGTACTTTAAGAGTTCTTCTTGGTCGAAATGATCTGAATAACAACAATGAAGCTAACGCTCAGAGAATCAACATCGCTCAAGTTACTATGGTCTGTATCTTTTTTTATTACATTCAGCATAAACCTATTTGCTGTAAAGCAAGGCAATATTCCACTCTTCGAAGATTAACTATCTTAAAAGGAAATATATTTTGTTTGAAAGGTATAACTGATTGGCACTAGAGAGATTAGCATTATGGATCCGATATCCAATTCATGATGAAATGATGATGTATTATATATCCATTGAACCGTGATTTGTTGTTGATCAATTTAGTTTGTCAATTTCTTGCACAATCATTATAATTGAAACTCGATTTGCTTTCTAGCACGAAGGATACAACTCCAATGCTGATGGATTTCCCAATGATGTGGCTGTTTTGAGACTGTCATCTACTGCTAATTTGGTGCCTGGTTTCGTGGAGGTCAGTGAGCTGTCACCAGATAATACCTATGCTGGGGAAACAGCTGTTTTAGCTGGATGGGGTAAATTAGCTGGTAGTGAATGTAAGTATACTAGCTAAACATCAACTTTTCCTTTTGTTGTCGTCGGTGATTTGCAAACTATTATATTCTATTCGACATAGTACTGACGTATTAGATTGATCCTCGTTGATAAAAACATGTAAGTTTCGATGACAAAGGGCAGCTCAGGGACTCATCTAGCAAATGCCTGGGAAGGAGGGGCAAAAATGAGAGTCGAGGCATCGGAAATATTCATGATGTACCCATTGACCTTTCACAAACCCGAGGGCGGCATGACCTAATGGCCCACCCCCTAAATACGTTACCTAGACCACTCTTATTTATTATTCACTTGCATGTGTCCATTTCAGCTACCACATCATCTAAGTTATACAGATTAGATATCCCAGTTATCAGTAACGATGCATGTACACAGGCCTGGGGAGCAAACTATATCATGGAAACTCATATTTGTGTTCATGATGACGGTAGAGAGAGTGGAGCTTGTAATGTAAGTTACACCTGCAGTTATATGTTGCTCCTAAAGGGTCTATTGATGATGCATCGCTTAACATAATTTGGACGCCTTGATTAACTGATTTATTTATTACATGTTGCAGTTGTTCTCGAAGAAGGCCAAATAAAATATCATATCTGTTCGTCCTCAAGGGTGGCAACATTATATCATATCCATCTATTTACTGATAGCCGATTGGACAGAACGTCCCACAGTGCCGTTACACTCCATCGGCCTGATCCTGACTTTACTCGGTGGCCCTTTTGAATGTTCCATTTGATGAAGATATGTTTGATTTGTTTCAACAGGGAGACAGTGGTGGACCAATGTACTGTTCTAATGGTAGTGGTGGATACTATGTCTGTGGTGTAACATCATGGGGACAGAACGGTTGTCCTGGTACCACACCAAGTGTTTATGGCAGAGTTTCCAAATTCGCTTCATGGATCAGAGCAAACACTGATCTTTAAAAAATAAATTCTATTATTATGTGATAAATTTTAAGAATAAAACATTAAGAAACGATTGTTGTTTCTAACTATCATTGCATAACATCATTATCAAATGATATTATTAATAATTATCGTTCAGGTTATTTTCGGCTTTGGCTTTCAATGACACGGAGCAAAATCCATCTGGTGCTGATGAAACTTGGTGATATCACAATGACGACCATGCGCATAATGAAGGTTCTTGTGGAACGGAGTGAATTGTCGTGGAATTGTGATCAGAAATGATATGAGTTTTCGGAAATAAAACTTCAGTGGAAACCTGACACAATAATCCCATATTCATATACACAAAAGTGTGTTATATATGCTAGCTCTCACAGTAGCCTAGGGAAAAAACACAAAGGAAATTAGAAAAGCATAGAATATTTATTGTACAGAAATGATTATTAGTTTATTTAGTTTAAATGTGGCATTTTATTTTTTCATTCTTTGTCATCACAATAATCTGAACGTTGCAGTCAAAATCACATAACATATCTATGTATATATTTCTTCCATAGTATTTCAGATATGGTTACTCTTATCAGCTCTGTTGTACGAATATGATTACCATCTACAAGTCAATAGAATTTAAACCACTATATGTCTTTTGAAAAATACATCTGGTCCATCGCAACCATTGACGTTTTACTGCTCATTAAAATTCATCTTCAGATGCAAAAAAATCAGATTATATCCAAATATTTCAAGTTTTGCTTAACAGAGAAGTAACGGTTAAGTAACAAAGGATTGGATTTTCCTTTTATAAGTTGCCCCTATTGGATTTCTGACATTAAGGCTACAAATACATTCAAATTTAAAGCAATAGCCTAGAAATTGTCCCATGAATATAGTTGAAAGGACGGGTTTAAGCTTTAAAAAAAATAAACTCAAAAGGCACCCTAACACGACAACTGATTTCAATTGCTCGTAAATAATTTTGAGATCTAAGCAGGGACTTTATGATTGTGTCTTAATTAATAATAAGATTTCAAATTACGCCTTAAGCTGCTTCTAGTTAATTGAATTTTGGTCATCTTAAGCCGCAAAGAATCAAAGTCACACTGTAAATTTAACTTTTCTGAAAATAAACACAAATTCCCAGTCATTACTTAAAGATTTTGCTCTTAACTAGCCAGGAAGTTTGTATACAAATACTTCCTTAAAACACAAATATTTTGTTCATAACAGTAATAGGTCTTTTGGGTATGATGAACTTTAAGGGGTTACGTTTTGAAATAACTCTAATTCCTTTTGCTGGATCAATAAATGTTAAACTGATTGGTAATCTTTTGGTTCAGTTTGTTCCATATGTCTAAATATAATATAATTTTGGTCCAGTGAAATTTGCCTATGTGATTCCTCTTTGTATAAGTAAATTAAATCAAAACTAAGACAAAATATTTCACATAACCTTGATTTTTTTGGTCATAAAAATTAATTTACGAACTTGAAAAGCCAAATCTTCCTGAGATAATTCAAACAACATTTTGAGCTAAAATATACTTTTAAATTAGTAACATTATCAATATATACATAAAGTTTCATTAGATATACACCTAGGCATTGTGAATATAACATCTTAAAATATAGTTTCTTTTTTAAAGACATACAAGGGTATTATCTCATATATATACAAATTATTTCAAACATTTCATGTCAAAATCTATGATATAATAAAACAAAAAATTATAGGCATTAACAGACAAAAATATTTGTTTACATCAGGGGAAGATCGAAAAACATAGACAAAATCAGTTTATTTTGTTTCTAAGGGACAGACAGTATATTTGGGAAAGTTAGAAAAATGTGTCCCTTACCTTATCTAAAGTTTTTATACAAAATAATTCAAATTAATTTTGAAATGCAAAAGGTTTATGTTAAATTAATTCATTGAATTGCACACCTCCATGAATTGAGTCCTCCCTGGCTTTGTAGAAATATCTTCACTGAACTATAAATACAAAATCCCAATCCCGAACAAACATGAAAAAAGAGGAAATGTTAATACAAGTACATGCAATAAGGTTTGGGTTAAAACTTTTTTTGATACTTTTTTTTCACTGAATAAAGCATAAAATAAAAAGAATTTTACTTCAAACTTCCCATGAAATTCATTATCACATTATCCTCACCATCTTACTGGTTATACAGATACTAAATAACATTCTATCTACAAACAGGCAAGGGAAAAAGTCAGATCTTAGACTTCAAATACAAATATAAGAATTAAACAGTATAAAAACAACAAAACATATACAAGCGCAAGGTTTTATAAGTGAAAGCACAAAAAATGATATGCAAATAACAAAATAATAAATTTATAACAGATCTTGCTTCTCATTTCATTTTGAAATCTTAGACTTGATAGAAACTATTTATTTGATTAATATGGACCATATATTTCAATAACTTGGACATTTTTTTTCACTAATATTTATTCCAATTCTTGAATAAATTTTTCAATAGAATGAACCATGCATTTTTGAGTTTGCACCATTCATTTCAATAGTATGGTTGATGCAACTCTATAATATGAACATTCACAAAAAATGTACCATTTCTTTCATTTAAGAGAAGACAATTTATTTTAATAGAACGAATCAATCATTTCAACAATATGGACTGCTTATTGACCATTTATTTCATAAGAATGGATCGTTTCTTTAATTCAAATGTAAAAGAATATAATAATTTAAGCTTAATCACAGTATACTAAACAAAATTATTTGAAAATGCAGCCAAGTTACAAAAGTAAATTAATAAAGTATTAGAAATAAGGTTGAGATTTCTAATTGTTGTAAAGTCTTTAAGCCATGACCAGAGGTTCATCATCTGAGAAACCTTGAATCATTGGAGTGTCTTCATCACCTGAAAAAACAAAAATATCATACATAAGATTACTTGCTAATAGAAACAAAATCATTATCATACTTGCTAATAGAAACAAAATCATTATCATCATTATGTGACATATATGCATATCTATCATACTTCACGGGATTGTTAAGAGTTTTTTATGTATTTGATGACATCACTAATCATGATGGGCTTTATGTGATACAAGCATATTTTGCGATTAGTGACATCATCAAACACTTTATAAATGGAATTGCTGGAACCGACGATGTCTCACTGAAAGTTAAAAAGGTACAAATTGATACTATCAGTATCCCCCATACACATAAAAAAAACATCTCAGTATGAGAAATAGACTTCTGGTTTTTCTTCATTAGATAACAAAATTCATTAAAAGTGAGGATGTTACAACTTGCCAGGTTGTTACTCACAGTTTGTCATTCAGATATCATTGATGTCAACATTATACCAGAAATAACCGCATAAGAAACTTAAAGATAGCAATATGCCCCCAATTGTAATGGCAGCCAAGTTGTCTGCGAGATTGACAAGAGCTATCAGTAAATAAAACATTTCAAACATTTAGAGAGTTATATTTTCATACTGTAAGAGATTTTTTCATAACCTTTTTCTTTTTTGTATTTTCAATAGGGTTCATGATAAACAATTCCACCAAGTTTCTTTAAAATCTGTAGAGAATTGTGCCTTCTTGAGTCTTTACAAGCTAAAAATTGAACATGTTTTCAAGAACAAGGGCAATAACTCATATTAAGTATATTTAGATTTTTTTGATTTTTAATAGGGTACATCATTGAGTAAAAATTATTAGAAATTTCACTAAGATTTGTCAAAATTGGTCAATAGATGTGCCTTCTAGACCTTTTACCAACTAAAACTGAATGTGTTTTCACCAACAAGGGCAATCACTAATAATTAATATTTCTTCGATTTTTTTTTTTATGTTCTATAGGGTTAACCTTAATCCGTCAACAACTGCGACTTCTAGACTGTTTATGAACTCTTTAATATATTTATCGATTTGTCTGATTTTCAATAAGGTTCATTATTGGGTCAAAATCCATTTAGAAACCAGCTATCTAAAGAAAAACCTGACATATTCATATATAATATAATAACTACAAAATCCAAACTAAAACATTGTAATGTCAATGAAATGAAATGAATGGAGGTTTACATCCTACTCTTCGAGAAAAAAATGGGTAATATAAGCCAGTGTACAATAAAGAAAAATTAGGCCAGGAGAGCAGCAATATTTCACATGCTTGTGTTGCATAAGTCCATTGTCCCATCCAAAGGACTAAACACTTTTTCCATGTCATTGAGGTATTAATTAAAACAAGCAACATAATACTTTTGTGTAGCAGTTAAACTGAAATGGCTATGCTATGGCTAACCATTTCAAAATGGTGGCTAGGTAAAAGAAGTGTTTTGGACATGCTCTCAAGATTTAACTATATGTTTAAAATTATATATATGTATGTTGTACATGTGTGTATGTTATTTGTAATTATATAACTGTTCTAATTGTAATTGTTTGTGATTGAATGTGAGAACAAGTTAACAAATGGTGGGATAAATTTTAATCTATGATTATTTTTAATAATTGTTTTTGAATCTATCAATTGCCAAGGTCTTGAGAAATATTATCAAATAAGGTAACTGATCTAAGAGATTGTAAAACAAGTGGTTGCCTAGCAAGATACCCTCACTTTCCTGATACATTTTCAGTATATCAAGGGCAGTCACCTATCTGTGTCAAATCATACTAAAAATCTAATTTGTGAAAGATATTCAGTCAGGTGCATTTACTGACCTTCAGTTGATCGAAACGGCCATTCATTCAAATCAGATTTTAAATGGTATCGTACTCTAATTCTTGACTAACCATATTCTCGTAATATAGTTTAGAGGTTTAAAATATGGCAAGATGAGCACCACGAAAAGCAAAAGAAAAGGGCCTTGTGAGATTATATAAAATACAGAATAAAAATATATACAATTAAATACAGTAAGATAAAACAAAAAATTAAGCGGAGGATAAAAGCAAAGCTCAAGGATGAGTTAAACAACCTTGAAAATAACTTTCAAGATGAAAACTTTGATTTTGAAGACATTGACAAAATAAGAGACAGACTAAATAATATTTAAGAAGA